TTTTTTGTTGGCTATTTGTTGTCGATCGTGCGCCATGATTTTGTGGATTATGTGCTCTATCGCTGCGCGATATTGTAAGTTGATGCCTATCGGCTGTTTATGGTACAATTTCCACAGTTTATAATCATAAACATTGATCGATGATCGACAGCAGCATGGCAAGTCAGTTGGCCCGACGTTTAGACGGTCAGCTGCTATTAGATAATGGCGCAATTCGTATAGCTAGCTAGCTGTGGCTATCATTGTAGTTCTGTAGTTCTTGTGTTGCTGTGCCTTTCCAAAATATAATTATCACTCGCTTTTTATTGCCTTGTTATTTTTTAGATGTGATTTTTTACAAACACCTTTATTTCCTGCTCCCTTTTTTAGTTCTTCAACATACATTACAAGCTTATCTGGCGAGTTATTTCTTCGTTTATCTGTTTAAAACTGCTTCCCTCCGAACGGTTAGGTCCAGAAATTAGTTTATTTCAGAACCGGGTCTTGCTATGATGTAGTTAGCGCCATTTTGATAGGCTTTCCCTGGAATCTCTGATATCTGCTGTCACAATCCATTGGCATCTTTCAACCATTTGGCCTTAACGATACATATGTACATACATATGTATATTAGAAATGGATCAGTTAGAAATCTCCATAAAGGCCTAGACAGACGGCAGCGTTGATCCGGATTAACTCGTTAGTTCGGAATTAACTCGGAAATTAACTGCATTTGATCCGGATTAAGTTCTGCGGCTAATCCTCAAAATAAATTTTTCGATGACCGCACTCATCAAAAGAAGTTAGCAAACAAAGCATATTAGTTTGGCTTCCGCGGTAATCGAGTGGTGAATACTAAAATTCTGTAGAACTCAGGCTCGATTCTCGGTTAAAAAAGTAAAAAGTATGTAATAAGTGAATGAATTAAAAAAAAAATGAAAATTCCACTGGCCGTGGGACTCAAACCCTCGACCTCGCGGTTAATCCGGATTGACGTTGCCACCTGTCTATGCTATACGATTTTGGAGGCCCCTTTCAACATAGCGATATCTTTTTTTTTGACACATTAAGATGGCTTCCGTTTTAGAAATTTAGCATCTTAGTCGGTTTCGAACGCGTCGGTATGGATGCCAGCAGAATTCTCCTCGAATACGCTGCCTAAACTGAAATCACGTCTAGTGCGAAATTTCATCAGAAAGTTTTTCGTGAAATCTGATTGTTTCCCTGATTCTAAAAGTTTGTCACGAAAGCCCCTATGCCTGTGCTGCTTTGACATCAAACAGCCTGATTCTTTTGAATCTGACTGCAGATTTCTATGGCAACTCCTTTTTGTGAAAGAAAATAGTAGGGTAGGTAGTCACTTTTTAAAATTTAAAACTTTTCTTAAGCTCAAAAACAGCAGTTTGTTCAACACTTATTTAATAACAATACTAGTAATTAAAACTATGCATACATACATACACATACTCTCGTATATAAAAAAGGTCAGCGTGTTATCTCAATGCACCTGTGCACAGCGGCGAGGGCCATCCCTTGTCACTCGAAATGCTGCTCTGAATTTCATATTTCCATGAAATTACACTAAAGATTACAAAGTCGAATTAGTACGCTATAAAAATACATATAGTAGTGTGTGCATTACTCTCCATATAATTGTACTGTTTTTCCATCGAAATTATTTATAAATATTATTATACAGTTCCGGCAAAATGTATCGGAAAAATATTCAGATTTACGTTGACTGAACTAATTTTAAAATACATACCTAATGAAATTAGGCTTCAAAAATTATTTTTCCACAAAAAATCACCTCAGATGATAAAAGAGTTTAAGCTTAAAGGATCTCCATAAAAATGTTTAAAAATTGTATTAACGGAATCAAAATAATGCGATTTTTCGTGGTATTTTCAAATCGATCCAGCTCACGTAAAAATTAAAATATTTCCGAAATATTTTAGAAGAAGTCTGAAAATGTAAGAAATAGCATAATTTGGATGAAAAAACGCAACTTTTTTTTTTGGTGAGGCACCCTAATAATATATATTATTTAAGTACATATGTACATACATATGTATCACAATCAGCTATTTTTAGAAAGCTGCAGCTTTGAAATTCATACGAAATTTATTTATTAATCAAATCAGTCAGATGTTTCGAGATCAGCTTTGCCGAGCAGCTGCATTTAATGGAGCGCTGAAAGGCACGACTGGCTGTCTAGGTTGCATTTAAAAATGAATTCTTTGTACATAGTACATAACGATGCATTGATTTCCGTGAGAGAGTGCTACGAATGGTTTTAGTATTTATGTATATATGTATATGTATATGTGTATAAAAGCCTCGCTTTTGCCGACAACTCAGACCTTTTGAAGGTTAGATTATATAGAGCGTACCTATATATAATTTCCAAAGTCTGAATATACGAGATTCAGCATATAATTTATTAAGCGCTAATATTAGTAGATGCTTAGTGCTAACTTAGGGTTTACACCGGACAATATTGTCAAGACAATTATGTCAAAATGATATGCTTGTTGTAATATGAATTCGCCTTGTTTACAACAAACACATCATTTTGACATAATTGTCTTGATGGTATTGCCTGGTGTAAACCCTAAGTAAGGTTGGCATATTTTAAGCTTTTGCTTTCTCGAAATTTAAAATATTTTTTCTCTCTTTCTTTTGCAGGTAAGGTAAACTTTAATATGAGGCATTAACCATCTAATTGGCTTAACTTTTTTAACTGTTGACCTGATTAACGACTTACTTGAAATGTGTGTAAAGGTACGATATTATCGGATATGTCTTTCATAGAATTTCAGAAATCAGTTAAGTTTTTGAAAAGTGGTAACCCCTTAAAATAGCTTTAATTTTGCATTCATTAGTTGTATGTACCTTTATTCATTAAATAAGTGGAGTTTATTGTCGGGGTGGCAACCCTAACATAATATTTCTATTTCATACACGTGGTCTCTCATTTTTTATTGTTATGTTTAAGTTCAGATACATATTTTTAATGTGTAGCTAGGTGGCAACCCTAACATTCAAACTCAATTTCGGTTAATAGCACTGGTTTATTTTACGTCCATAAACCTAGCTGACCCAAGTCGCCAAAAATCAATAAAAATTAGCTAGGAATTAGGTGTCTTTTAGGTGTTAATTAGGGCCTCCAAAATTAATTTAGGTGTTCCTTTGGTTTCCGAGAAATTCGCAAAAATGTGTGGGTCAGCTAGGTTTACGTAAACCTAGCTGACCCATCGTTAAATTTAGGTTTTAAATTTTCCAGATATATGCAGGAATTAGGTGTCTTTTAGGTGTTCTTCAACGCCACCGAAACTAATT